GGATTTCCCCTCTGAGCCTCTTTGGACTTCTGATCTCCTGGTTCTGTATTCTCAGCATGTCCTCGACACCAGCTCAGGCTTCGTCCTCTGGATTATCCTGCCTTCCTTTGTCTGCCCAGATCTGGTCTCCTGCTTGTTCTCCGTCATTCTGGGACAATCTAGGTGCAGCCCACCACCTCTTGTTGACAGCCCACCGGCTGGATCCTACCTCGTTTTCTGGGCACGGTCTGAACTATTAAAATAGCTTAATCTCTGTCAGATTAACGTGGTCACTAACCTGTGGTTTAGTCGTGCAAAGGTTCCTGCCTTAATCCTTGCTGTAACTACAGGTCAGCCATTTTTAAATAAATGCTTTTGAATTGTCAGACTGTCGGTCTGCCTTGAATACTGGGTCCCCTATTCTGAGCCTTGACACAAACAAGCAGACTGATGGATTTGTTCTTATGTGAATATACCCTTATGTTCTGTAAGCTAATCAAGAAAGCTTTGACTGTGCCTTCAGCTAACCGAGAGCAGTGGGTAACATCTACTCAGTTACAGTTACTTTGAATCACTTTTTGACAAATGTTTATTGTCAGTAGTTTTTGTACACCATACTTTTTATGCCTGTGTGTATTCTCAGTCATGGCAACCACAAACGGGGCTAAATTGGAAGGCAAGCGGACTTTCGCTTAGTTTCTTTGAAGACGTTTTGACACCTATCCAGGAGTCTTTGTCAATTCTGTAAGCTCACACCAGAGCCAACTTTAGTTGGAGCACTGATTTATTTAAGCAGCATGGAGGTTCACACTCCTACACATATTCCAAGTAAGATGCTATTCAATTAGCCGCCCTTGTGGTTTCAGCTTTCAAGCATTTACAATTCAGTCATGGAACTCATTTCCAATAAGTTACATAAGCACTCCCATTGTAAATCAAAAGACCAATCCAAGAGGCCATGCACAACAAAGGGCTCCAACAATCCAGTTGAACAAAGGGTGGCTATTTGATTGGCATCCCACTTGGACTGAAACCAAATGTTTCAGTGGAGACCAATGGTGGAGACGATAGGTCCAGCATATTTTATTTTATTTTTACTTTCACACAAACAGAGAAGGTCCTCTATCTTCTCCATATAGCTATCATATCTACCATCTGTGCACAGTGCTGTTGCAAATTCCTGCTTCCTTTGGGATAAGACAAATAAATCCACTTTGCTCTCTCAAACTCTCCACGATAAAAGTTATCAATTTGGCATGCCATCTTAGTAGATCCGCTTTAACTCGCATACTAATTACATGTCACCTATCAATAATTAATCATGGTGCTAGTAGTCTGTTGGTCTTGGTAACTCTTGCTGTTTGGGACTCAACCAATGAGCTGTAAACTATAGAACCATTCATTCTGCTATCAGGTGAAACACCTTCTTGGAGAATACTCCACCAGGATTTTTTTTTATCATGTGCTCTATTTATTTAGAACAACATATCAAAAGCATACCAGCAAGAAAACCTTCAACAGAAATCAATCTATGAAAAAGTTGTGGAGTAAAGACTGAATGCACAACAGAGATCATGTATCTTATTGTTGTTATCTTATAGGTTTCCTTAGATCAAACTTGCTTCCCAGCTATGGAGATTTGCTCCCTCTTTTCAAGGCTCATTTCAGAGTCTGAATAGTCGTTGGTTATCTCCACCTGTGTGATCATTTATTGGAAGAAATGCTGAGTCATATTTGGATTGATAACTGATGCATAACATATGAAGTGCTATATTTGGCTGATGTCAGCATCATCCAAATTATCTCAGTTTCCTCTCTAACTTCACCAAATGTTTCACACTTGCTTGTCGACGAGCCGCCAAGAATTCACTCCCTCGATGTCGACCTTCAGAGCCTAAAACACATTTTTCAGATTTCTGGAGCTGAAACTCCCTGAAAATATGACAGCACGAACACTTTACATATCGCAGTGTCTGATCCGTCTCTCTCAGCCAGCGAAGCTGACAGATCATCATCTGAGATGGAGGATGAGGAGGAGGAGGCTGGACGAAGGAGTGATAAGAAGAGGAACAGCAGGAGGAGTGGTGTGTTTTTCAGTTTTCAGAGAGCATGTGGGCGTACGTAGCCATACTTTGAAGTGTTTTCCTGCTGGGGACGGCATTTTCTCACAGACCCCTGCCTCGATTCGAGTCAGAAGCAGAGAAAAGCACAGAAACAAAGAAAAAGACAGAGATGGAGAGAGGAAAAGGGATGTGGATGCATCAAACACGCTACCATTCATCTAGGAACAACTGACCCTTGCCTGTGGATGACTCACCCAGTATCTGTATTTCCGTCTCACCAATCAGGCTTTCATTGTCCACCATCCTGAGCTAAAAAGAGAGAGAAATGATGACCCTTTGTTAAACCTGAACACAGGCTGTGTCTTATTCAGGAAGTTAAATAAACAAATAATGGCAAGAGGAGTCCTCGTCAAAATGTTATATTAAAGTTTTAGTTCAGCATAAATTATAGCACTTCTTCACGTGCTACTTGACTCCTACAAGAAAGTTGTCTCAAATGTGCTTTGTTAATGCGTCGAAGCTCATAAGATGAATCTACGTTATTTATTAAAATAGACAGCTGATTGTCACTGCAAAGGATTGGGACGTTACAAGCATCAGCTGAAGAAGCCAAATTATGATGATAGGTTTTAAGGAACCTAAAGTTGTATTTTCATGTGTTTTTTATTCAATGTACACAGTCAAAGATAAACAATTGTCCAATTTGTTTTGATCTTGATTTAGTGCACCTTTTTTCCATTTTATTACTTTTTTCACGTTCCTTATTTAAATTATTCATAGCACTTTTTTAGATTTGTCATCATATAATTACAAACTTTAAAATAATTGTAATTCATAAACCAATTCAAAGAAATTGATAACTGTAATGCGGGAGATGGTTTGTGTTTTCCTCTTTTTTACAAATTAAATATAAAAATTGGGGCATGCATTTGTTAACCTGCACTTTAATCCGTTACCTCTGAATAAAAGTGTAACTCTTCCCTTCACAAGTCACATAATTGGTTAATGGTCCAACTTGGAGTATTTTTCTTTATCTTAAATTAGGTTGTGCTGTGAAAGCCTCAGACTTCAGGCTAAAGCTGCTTTTATTATCAAACAGAGCACTGTTCAATCCAACAACAGTATTGACTGAAACGGCAACATTAAGAGGATAGAAACAACAACGATATAGAGATATAAATATAAACTCAATCATCTAAGGATCATGAAAATACCCTTTTCCTACGATAATGTTGTACAATAAGTTGGTTTAACATAAAATTCCAACAAGAACATTTTAAATGGGTATGAATATTTTTTCATTTGAATATATCTGTTCATTGTGAAATAGAAAAGCATGGTATCTAAATTAACATGACTGCAGGTTCTTACTACATCCTTATTACAACCTATTGTGTAAACTGGGTCTATTTGTCTCATTCCTGTCCAGCTCAATTACCCTTTTGACATCTCTCTCCTTCACTCTCAGCCAGTCACTTCTTTGTTACTACCTCTACCAGTTTATTCCCTTTTATTCTCCTTATCCTTCTTATTTTAGATTATTTGAGTCCATTTTCTTAAGGCTTCAGCAACAAGTCTCCCCAGACAGGTTTATGCAGCCGCCTAACCCTCTTTATATGCTGCATGTCCTCTGGACTATTGCTAATGCTAACTCTTTTATCTTAACTTGGCTGTACAATCAAACTAAATTAATCAAACTTAATTATTCTTTTGAGGTTTTTTCCCCATATCAGGTTAAGCGTGTCAATTCCCTAAAAATGTGCAGAAAACTCCGGCAAATTAAGTATTGAACAGAGTAGAGATAATGAATGAGTAGGAATATTAGGTCATAAATGAAGAATCGTTAATCACTGTCTGTTTGAATGCAGCAAAGTAACCAATCTTTACAGTGAATGTTGCAGTGGTTTACCTTTCTGTACAATTAAACACTATATGGCGAAAGACAGCCTGTTGATGTTTCACTTCTATTCTGCTTTTATGTATTTACCTTACATTTTGCTAACCTATTCATACCAGAGGGACACGTCCCTCCACACACACACACTCGCTAAACTGTCATTGTGGGGACTTTCTCATTGACTTCTAATTTTATTTCTATGACCTAACCCTAACTATTACCTAACACTAAGTTTAACTTGAACTTAATTCCCATCTTAGGTAAACCTACCCCCCACCCCAGCGACAGAACTGGTGTTATGGGCACCACTTGTTTGTCCCCACAAGTACCTATAAGTGGCCAAAATGTAAATTCTTTATGGAAAAATTTCCCCACAGGGTAATAAAACACTTGGCCACAAATTGCACTCCTACTCAGGGTACATTAAAATAACCAAGTAAACAGGACCTTGAAACAAGGACCTTCTTTTTTGCACCAAACTAACAGTCCTTTTTCTGTTCTTCTTTTTTAATTTATATAAACTTTATACTTCTACAGATTAGCATGCCCATATTGCTGTCCTTTATATGGGTTTGGATTTAAATTCACAGTTTAAAGGGAGAGGGGAAACATTTCAAAATGTTGCAATACCGGTTTTATCTTTGAAAGAAGCCCCAATAAGTGTCAGTTTGACTACAGCAGCTATACTGTTTAATATTTGTTATAAACTTTGGCGTTGGATGTGAAAGAATATAAAAATCTTTTAACAATCTTTCTCATATTTGTTTTTGTAAGAAAATAAGATGATTGCTTCCATTTATGCTTGTGATAAATGTATTGTTAGGCATAATTTTATAATTAGTTAATAAACCATACGGGCTTAATGATTCAGCTTTGCCTGATTGTCTCTGAACTCATTTTTGGGGAATTCACAGAGGACCAATCTGAATGATAATTATCTTAGAAACCTTGCAGGAAAAGGACTATTTTTAGCAGTTTAATGCGTTTTGGTTCATATTAACTAAAAGATTTTAATTCTTCATTTTTTTTTTATTTACAGAAACAGAAGAGGGGGTTTGTGTTTTTATTTTGAACTTAACCGAGAGTCCTATATGTTTTATTAATGCCTTTACAAAATCAGCACATCACATAGAAGACAAAACATGCAAGGAAAAGACAACAGTGACAGCGCTATGTACATCAGCAGCCTGATATTCCCTTTATAACCGCGTTATAATCTGTTCACTCTGATGCTGGAAAAAAGGGTTTTCAGTGATCTTTTTGGTTTTGATGTTTTTCATTCTTGACTTTTTTTGCGCGCCTCCTCGTCGGACTTCAGCTCCATCAGCTCCACCTCGTGCTTTGCGGCAGTCTCCAGCACTTTCTGCTTGTTGTAGAAGACAACAAAGTTGTTGATGATCGGGTGGATGGGCAGAGCGATGGCGATCACCCCGCACAGAAAGCTGACCGCCGCGTTGCATTTCCCCAGAGGGGTTTTGGGGTAGATGTCTCCGTAACCCACCGTGGTCATGGTGATGATGGCCCACCAGAAAGACTGAGGGATGCTCCTAAAGAGCGTTTCCGGGTGGCTTTGCTCCATAGTGTAGGCCAGAGCGGAGAACACAAAGATCCCCACACCCATGTACATGAGGAGCAGCCCCAGCTCCTTCAGGCTCCTCTTCAGCGCATAGGTCAGGGTCTGCAGGCCAGAGGAGTGGCGCGCCAGCTTGAAAATACGCGCGATGCGCATGATGCGCAACGCCTGGACAGCCTGTTGAACGTTCACCAGCTCCATCATGGACGTGGTACCGAGCAAAGTGAGGGACAGAACAACGTAGAAAGGCATAATCACCATGAAGTCTATGGTGTTCATTATGGAGAGCGCAAAGCGCCATTTGTTGGGAGAGGAAACGAGGCGCAGCACGAACTCCACCGTGAACCACAGCATGCACACGGTCTCGATCGCCTCCATGGTCGGGTGTTCAACCAGTTTCCCCTCCGCGTTGGCCACCTGCAGCTCCGGGATGGTGCTCACACACATCACCACCGCTGACACAAGGATGGAGAGAAAGGAGGTGATAGCGATGAAGCGCGCCGGCAGGGAGGAATCCGGCTTTTCCATCAGTCTCCACAGGGACCTCTGGTACCTCTGGGTGCGGGTGATGCATTGATCCACATCCAGATCTTCTAATATAGCTTTCACTTTGCTCGCAATCTCGTTCAGCTCTTCCTCCTTCTCACTCAGATAACTTTTGCAGCACTCATCCAAAACGCTCTGGTCTATCTTCCAGAACTCCATCTCCTTGATAAAGCATATGGGACAAATCCCGGTTTTTATGTGGATTTCATCGAAGTAATAAACATCGATGATGCACTTGAAGGAGTCAGGATCCCGATCAAAGTAAAACTCTCCTCTGAGCGGGTCAAAGTCATCGCAGAGGGTGGAGATAAGTTCTGAGTTCTGAGCTGAGCAGCTGGACAGCTCCGCCAGCCTGCTCTCCGGGTAGCGCCTCAGATCGTCCCCGAAAAGCACCACTCTCACTCCGCCGATGTTCACAGTGATATCCCCCTCTTCGCTCAAAGCGTTTCTATATTTTGGTTTCGGAATTGTCCACATTTTAATCAGAAGGTTTATTGGACCTGAAAATAGGCTAGAACGGCGGAGCGACTGTGACTAATGCCCAAATTCATGACGCCTATGAAAGTGATGTCTTGCAGACTGTTTCGTGTCCTGAATGGAACAGCTTGACTGGCAAGCTCTGCTTAGCACCCCCCCCCCCCCCCCCCCCCCCCCCCCCCCCCCCCCCC